CCCAAGCCATTAAAAAAACAATACCATATAAATAATTAAAATTAATTAATCAATTAAAATCCGACTATACAACAACCGTATACATAAATGCTAACATAGTATGGCATGGCATGACATGGCATAGATAAGCCATCAATAAACACATAAACCCCATTTACATACCATTTAAAAGATACAGTCAAGAGCCCAGGATGTAAATAAGCAGCCTGGAACACATTCTGTCTAGGAGCCAACACTGAGATAAGCAGGAAACAGGAATTATTAAGCAGTAACTTAATCAAGGAAGAAGCCACATCTTCACAAGACTGGCAGGGCAAGCTACTCTATGTAATTTAAAGAGCCAACAAACTCCACTCTCCCTCACACTGACAATGTTACCTAGCCTGATAATGAAATGTCTGCAAGAAAACAACCAATCTCAGAGAACACTGAGAACTCAACAATTCTCAGGTCACCTGGAGCTCTAGAAGTTTTATTTTAGAGATAGATGAGGTAGGAAGCTTCTGAAAGGTTATCAGGTACATAGTTAAATTCTTGGGTTGTCGCTTGTTTTGTATCCCATTAAATTTTTGATACATAGATTTGATATCAGTAATTGTTTCTTAAGGTTTACAACAAGGACTATGCTGAAATATGCTGTATAGAAAAGCCAGATTCAGGACGATTAACATTTATATCATTTAACCCAGTGAAAGATGAACTCATCAGTGGAGGAATCACTGGCGTAAAGGTGATGGTTTATCTCATGTTTATTATAGATAGATTTGCTTGTTGCTGAAATGATCAGTAATATGAGAAATTGCATATTTTGGGAAGTGATCTGTACAAAATCAGGATATATTAAATATTTTGCCATTTAAACCTCTCATAGGTTTATACTTTATCACTGATATCTGTGTATTATCAGAATCTTAGGATGTTTTTCTTAATAATTTGCACTTCTTTCAAGCACTGTTGAATGCAGGAGTTCCATTCAAAACCAAGAACTATCTGGCCAACAGAAATATAATTTCTGTCTCTCTGTTGACCTATTGGACTAGTAGGCTTAGTGAAAGAAGAAACGTTAATGTTCTACTACCCTCCCATAGAAATGTTTATAATTATATGAATATATTGTCCATCAAACAATTATTCTGAGAATAGATTGGTTTATCTTTCCAAATTAGATAACAGAGTATATCATATACTTCCCAGAGAAACACAGGGACTGGTGAACTACAGTCAAGGTAGTTGCCCATGCCATGAATTGGATCTTTTTTCACAGATCTCAGTAATAAGTTCTTTTAAAATCCGTAAATGATCTCTGTTGCCTCTCCATAATTCCATTATGTCCCAGAAGTGTGTTATACTATTTTTTTTTTAAATTTCTGGATATCCATCTCAAATATCAAATCACAAGCTGGTTTATTTTTATGTATATTTAGGTATACTTATATATATATATATATGTATGTATATGTATCTATATTTCTTTCTGTCTCTTAGACTTGGAAGTTTAAAGAAAAGAAGGGCCCACTTGAGACTAACCCCATCCCAATGTACAATTACGGCCTTTTCCTTAGGTACATTATTTATTGATCTGAGCTTTGAACTAGATACTATGTAGCTATGAGCTAAATCCCTGAAAATGTGTTTTATTATACTTTGTCACATATTATTTAACTTAAAAAAAACGTGGGAATATGGAGATGAGAAAGCTATGTCTAACTATAAGAATATGAGACAAAATTAAATTCATCTGGTCATATTCACTAAGTTGGCAAAACATTTTGAACTTAGAATGGCAATTTTGGGTATTCTGACTTCAGAACAAATGCCATGTGTTCTGAGAGTTTTGTTCTGATCTTGCATTTTGCGTGTTGAGTAATGTAAAATTACCTTGAAGCAGAACCATTTGCAGCCTTGAAATTGGCCATTTCAGGTATACTGTGCTCTATGCAACATGTATGGATTTCAAAAGTTTTGTTTCAAGTTTAGAACACCACTTTAGAACAAAAACAAAACCCAGGAGCGTTCCTCCTCTGATTGCCAGATGCGAGACCCTATTTATTAAGTTGGGCACTAAGAAGGATCAGTTGGGACTGTTGCTGTTGAACCAGCCTCCCAGCTGCATAGCAACCTCCCTGCCTGAGGTTCTTGACTCCATGGCCGGGCTGGTAGTGGAGTTCCCCAGGCTTATGGTCTTGGGGGACTTCAACTTGCCTTCTCTGAGTGCAGGGTCTGAGGTAGCTCGGGAGTTATGATAGCCACAAGCCTGTCTCAAATCATCCAGGGCCTGATGCATAATAGTGGTCATACGCCTGACCTGGTTTTTCTGTCTGAGCAGTGGCAGGTTGTTCTGGAATTGGGGGAGATACTAGTTTCTCCTCTATCATGGTCAGGTCACTCCTTGGTGAGCCTCTAGTTCTCTGGCACCACCCTCCTCTGCAGGGAGACTAGGCCTATTAGATTGGCCTGTCCCAAGTGAATGATGGACCAAACTAGGTTTCAGAGGGAGCTTGGGATTGTTCCGGAAAGTTTGCTACACAGTCTGACCAGTGTAGCAAACTTTGGACAGGGGCGATCTGGTCCAAAGCCACATGGAATGGGAGAGCAGCCACGGCTTTGGACCAGATCACCCCTGAGCATCCTTTCCATACCTATGGTTTCCAGAACTCTCTGTGGTATACGGAAGAGTTCAGAGAACTAAAAAGGGTTAAGAGATACCTATAGCACCACTGGTGAATGACGAGGAGCAAAAATGATCGAACATGAGCTAGAGCCACTATCAGAGCCTACCTCATGGCAGTAAGGGTGGTGAAATATAATTATTTCTCAGCCTTTATTGCATCCACAGATAGCCGCCCAGCAGCCCTATTTTGGATGACCCAGTCTCTCGGAGAGAGTAATAGTGGGATTCACCTACAGGGTTGCTGTGAGGAATGTGCTGTGCATCTCATGGATAAAATCACTCATATCCAGTCTACATTGGACTTCAGCTTTAGGGCAGAACCAGTGGAGGGTATGGGGGCTAAGTCCTGCATGGTTATCTGAGGGGAGTTTGATCCTGTTGCACCTGGGGAAGTGGACAGAGCTCTTGCAGCTGCTAGTTCAGCCACTTCTGTGTTAGATCTATGTCCCCCCTGGCTGATTAAGGCTGCCTGGGAGGGGATGCATGATTGGGTATTGAGGCAGGGGGTGGTTCTGCTGGCTCTTAAGGAGGTGGTACTGCACCCTCTCCTCAAGGGGCCATTGCTTGACCCAACCAGTCTGGACAGTTTTCGTCCAGTCTCCAACCTCTTCCCTTTTTAGGGAAAGTTGTGGAAAAAGTTACTGTGTGGCAGCTTCAAAGGACCTTGGATGAACTGGATTATCTGAACCCCCTTTCAGTCAGGGTTCAAGCTGAACTACAGGACTGAGATGGCATTGATTGCACTCTTAGATGACCTCTGGTGGGAGCAGGGTGGGGTAGTTCATCCATCCTTGCTCTTCTTGACCTCTCAGCAGCTTTCAATACCATCAGTCATGGTATCCTTCTGGACAGCTTCAGGAGTTGGGAGTGGGTGGCACTGTGTTTCTCCTTCCTCTGGGGTTGGTTCCAGTCGGTGTTGATGGGGGAAGACATCCAGCCCACGGCCCCTACTTTGTGGGGTGTCCCAGGCTGGGTTCTCTCTCCTCTCCTATTTAACATCTACATGAGACTACTGGGTGAGGTGATCTGATGGTTTGGGGTGAGGTATCATCAATATGCTGATGATACCCAGCTTTATATCTCCACTCCAGGCTGCCTGACTGATGTCCTGGATGTCCTGTCCCAGTGCCTGGAGGTTGTAGGGGCCTGATGGGGCACAATGCACTTCAACTCAACCCAAGCAAGGCTGAGTGGCTTTGGGTATTTGGGCCTTCCAGTGACAAGGTTTTTCCATCTTTGGTCCTGGATGGGGTGGCACTACCCCAGATGGCCCCAGTGTGCAATCTGGGGGTCCTCTTGCACTGATGGCTTCTGGTAGAAGAGCAGGTGGCAGCCATGGCTAGGAGGGCCTTTGCACATCTTTAGGTTGTGTGCCAGTTGCACCCATTCCTGGACCAGGAGGCTTTGCTCACAGTCACTCATGCCCTCGTGACCTCTCATCTGGATTATTGCAATGCACTCTACATGGGGCTGCCCTTGAAGAGCATTCAGAAGCTTCAACTGGTGCAGAATGCAGCTGCATGGGTAGTAAATGGTGTCAGATATTCGACACATGTAACACCACTACTGTATGAGCTGCATTGACTGCCAGTGTGTTTCCAGGTGCAATTCAAGGTGCTGGTTATTATCTTTAAAGCCCTTCATGGCTTGGGACTGGGTTGCCTGAGGGACCATCTTCTCCAGTTGTTTCTACCCATCCAATTCAGTCTGGCAGGGTGGGAATGTTATGGGCCCTGACAGCCAAGAAAAGTCATCTGGTGGGAACTAGGAGATGTGCCTTCTCTGCCATGGCCCCTGCCCTCTAGAACATTCTCCCTTCAGATATTAGGATGACCCTGACTGTGTTGGCCTTTTGTAAGGTCTTGAATTGTTTTAAATTGTTTTATGTTTTTACTATTGTTCACCACCCATAGTCACTTGTTAAGATGAGTGGCTATAGAAATCAAATCAAATCAGATCAATCAATCAATCAATAGCACTCCAGCCGTTTCATATGTTGTTCTGGCAGAACACAATCAATTCAGTTCAGTTCTCACCTAGAATGCAAATTAATAGTGTGAAATTTGATCTTTAATTAGTAGAAATGTATTGCTATTGTTACAGTATTATTTGTAGGTTTGTAGAAAATTATGCTTTCACTTGTTAAAATGCTGGAACTCTTTCCTATCTGACTGAAAGAATTCTTTTTTTAAGAAAAACAAATTCAAAGAATGTTCATGGCATTTTCATAATTCAATGTTCTGATAATATTTTGAATTATAGTACAGAATATCCACACATGGGGAAGAATTGGTGTACAAATATGGATTTTGATGTCCTTATGCAAAGATATTATTGCTTTTCTGATGGTCACTTCTTCTGTTATGATATCAATGGGAAATTGCTACTTGAGATACCCAATGCACATCAAAGTTCAATTCTCTCTTGTGTCTACTCATCTGATGTTAATATTTTGCTTACTTCTTCAAAAGACAGTGAAAGTAAGTTGGCACCTAAAAGCAAAAAATATATTGACCTAATCTTTGTATTGACTCGGTCATTTTAAAGAACTTCTAATGGTGTTAAGAGAAAGTAGGGATGTTCATTAACATTATGGAATTTTCATTGTTTAATCAGTAAGACCATAAAAACAGAAAAGTGATATTTTAATGTATTATATCTCTCTAATATACAAACCACTCTCTCACACACATACATACAAGTATATGCATATACTTATACCCTGTAAACCTTTCAGAGACTTGAACAGGAACAATGGGTGACACCTCAAAAGATAAGGCATGATTATGCTACCTTTTTATGCAGTGAAGAGGGGCAGATGTATAAAAACACTCAACAAGATAAACTTTAAAAGGATTTATAGAGATGGCATGGATTGGATTGGCTTGATTCCAGTTCCTAATCTCTTCTAACTATTCTACTAGCCCCATGAAAATTTACAGTTTTAAAAATCTGTTTTCTCCTATGAGTTCTAATGTGGCATTAACTCTTAAAAGGAATATATATTACAGTTACCCGATAAGAAGATGAGGTTTTCCCCCATGTATTTACCTGTAACTTGGGGAGGGGATCATCTTATATTCCCTGATAAAAATAGAAAAAGCTATTGAAAATAAAAGAAAGAGCAAATTATTGTAGACTTTTATTTGGAAAACTGTGGATGATTTTCAATATTAGTTTAATGATTAGCTTCTGCTTGGGGGAAGCAGCTTGCCTAATTAATATTAACCCTTTCTCTAACATCTAAACAGGGTTCCTGGTTGGTTTCTTCTCCTATCCAATGAACTCTTCCTCTTGCCTATGGCCATCCAGTTTGTCCTCCCCCCCCCCCGCACCTTTCCCTTCACTTCCCTGTGCAGTTACCTCTTCCTTTCGTCCCACCTTTATTGTTCCATTTCCGTTTCCACTTCTTTTTGACTATTTCTGCAAGAAGGAGGGAGGAGAGTGTATGTATATGCATATACTTGTGTGTGAGAAAGAGTAGTTTGTATATTAGAGAGAATGGTTCGTATTGCAGATTAATTTTATGAATAGAGTACTCTATTTTACAGGGAATTAACTTCAGTAGTTACTAAAGCATTTTTTTTTATCCTGACCCCCCCCCTTTTTTTTTTTACTATGGCTTTTAGCACAGGTGTGACATATGGATATATTTATTGAAAAAAGGGAAATCTCCAGGATTGATTATGGCTGAACTTTGCAAGCCAAGGTTGACAAGCTGGGCACTGAATAGGACATTTCTCTGTATTTATAATTATTTTTTCATAGAAACATAGTTTTGACAGATACCTCAGAGGTTTTCTAGTTTAACACTACTTGCTCCAGGATCTGCTAAAGCATTTCAGTTGGCTACCCAGCCGCTGTTTGAAGATCTCTAGTAAAGGTGAACATATTTCATGAGACATGTTAATCCATTGTTTCTCACCTTCAAGAGGTGTCTTCCAGTATCTAACCTGAATCTACTTCCCTGTAGTTTCAACATATTGGTTCTGATCCTGCCTCTGGAGCAATAGAAAACAAGTCTACTCCTTCCTGTATATGACAACCCTTTAGACATCTAGACTACTTTCATACTTCTTTTCAGTCTTCTCTTCTGTAGGCTAAATATACTCAATTCCTTCAACTATGACTCAGAAGACTTGTTTCCAGTTCCCTTACCATCTTGGTAGCTAGTTTTTCAATATCCTTTTTAGATTGTGGAATCAAGAACTGAACATAGTATTTCAAGTGGAGCCTGGTCATGGCAGAGAAGAGTAGAACAATTACTATCCATTATATGAACTCTTCCTATTAATACATCCCAAGACAACATTTTTCTTTTTAAAATTTATTTGTAGTTATTGATATGCCATCTACACAAGCAGTTCTATGTGGCTTGCAATAGTATATTAAAAACATTAATATAATACAAATACTAAAAATCTTTTTTTAAAGGGATTCTGTGTCAACTGCAGCTTCCAGATTGTCTTCAATGGCTATATAATGGGCAGTAGGAATAATCTTGAGGAACAGGAGGAAGAGCTGCAACCAAGGCACTGGTTAGATAAAAAATCTGAGCCTGAGGCAGAAGTGTAATTTGAGTAAGCGTCACAGACATGATCCTCCCTAATTCTCATGAAAATAAAGGGAGGGAGGGGGAAGCTCATTCAGACTTGCAAGATTGATGTCAGCCCTTCAAGGTAGACCAGACTAGGTGCCAGAGTTATGAATTCTCATGCTACTTTATTGTAAGGTTACAGGTAACCTTACTGGTACATGGAATGTCAGAGCCATGAACCAAATTTGATGTTGCCAGTGTGAAGACTGAACATTCTGGGAATGAGTGAACTGAAATGGGCCACTTTCCATCAAAGGAGCTATAGATCTTCTAGTGCAGATGAGGAAATCATAGAAAAATGGAGTAGCTGTTGTTAATAACAAAAGGGTATCTAAATCAGAACAAAAACCTGAAGGTAAGGCAAGCCAATCAATATTATGCTGACCCAAGTCTTAGCTCCAACCACAGAAGCAGAGGAAATAGAAGCTGATCAGTTTTATGACAATTAATAGTACCATCAAAACCAATATACTATTTTAGGATATTGGAGTGCTAAAATGGAACATTAATATCTGGAATAATGGGAAAATTGGCCTTGGTCTACAGAATGAAGCAGAAGCCAGAAAGTTCTGCCATGAAAATTCAGCATTTATATAAAATACATCCTTCCAGCAATCAAAATGCTGACTTGCAGAGAAGAAATGGAGTTATATCTAAATAAGCAATACAGAGAATTTGAGGATAATAATTGAATGGGAAGGACAAGAGCTTTATTTAAGAAAAATGCAGCAATCAAGGAAACTTTCATGAAAAGATGAAGGCAAAGCAAAAGAAGATATAAAGAACAGCTGGCTATCTATAGAACTGTATAAAAAAGATCCTGGAATTAAGGAAACACATAACTTTTCCCCAGATTACTATCATTAGGCAGAGGGAAACTAGCCTTTCAAGTTCTGACCTGGTCTGGCCCATGAAGTCTCCCACTCTTACGTCCTTTTCTGAGGCCCTTGTTAGAAAACTAGGCCTTCATCACCTAACTACTACCACTCTGGATCTGATCCAATGCCCCAAAGGCAGACACTGTCACTCAACATTTGTGATAGAAGTAGGTTGTATAAAAGTTGCATCTATTAAGTGACACAGGTGCAGCTTTTGTATATCCTGCCACTGAGCAAAGTTGAAAACTTCTGTCTGTATGAAAGTAGACGAAACAATTCTCATTTATTCTTTTGTCTAAGGGCTGATTCTGTTATCTGAAGGTTATCTGATTTGCCTTTGGGAGGGGTTAATCTGCCCCATTGCTAATGCCATGCCCAGCTGGTGTAGCACCTCGCTACCCTATCCATAATGGGAAGAGAACTTGCAGTTACTGCTGAAGCCCTGATTGTCCCTGTAGTCTACTTTGCCTGAACCTTTGTGATATTGAGAGTTATGTCTGACTCACTCCCTGTCACTCAGTTTCCACTCAGAGACATCCTGGGGCAATCTCATGCTTGTCCCAAACTAAAACCAGTTTGGATCAAACATGCCTTTGGAGGTATTGTCCGCAGATCCCTTGGCAACCACCTTCAACTACATTCAACCATACCATAGCAATGGTGTCTGTCTTGGCAGTATCTGAGCTTCTGAAACAGCGATACTCTTAGGTGGGCTGTGGTTATGCTTAGCTGAGCATAGTAGTGCAAGCTGTCTTGGAAGAAACTTCCAATGCTGAGTTCTTATTTTGAATTGATAAATGATTCTGCTTTGAAGCCAGAGTAACAGAAGAAAGAGAGGCTTAATTTAGGCAACCCCTTTTAAATGGGCTGGGGCAAACTTTGGGGAAGTGTACTAGCTAAAATGGCTCACTTACCCAGGCTATTTCTCTCTGGTGTGTAGGGAAATCCATTCCCCCATTGCATGAATTTAAGAGAGTGCCTTGGTCTGCACCCATATCTGTACCAAGAAGATAAGGACTCGTCTCTGGTAAATTAGATCCACCTTTACTCCAGCTTGTTCTTAGATCCACCTTTACTCCAGCTTGTTCTTCATCTAATTTATAACCCAGTGTTCCAGCTTATGAAATGTGCACAACATATAGTTTGGCTGCAGTTTTAATAGGGCTATCATTGTGAAAAGCTCTTTGCACTCATTATATTATCAAACCAGAGATTAAATAGCCTTCTAATCATTTTATGTTGGTTGTTCAGCAAATCAGATATAAGAGGAAATTCAATATACCCTTTCTCCATAATAATTGGAGAATTAGAATGGTACAATGAAGATACCACATAATTCCTAATCCATTAGAGGACTGCTCAGGTGTTAACAATGTATGCACAACTGAACGCATGAGCATCATAATTGAGCAGCCATTTCTTTCTCCTAATGATTATCTCCACAGATACAGCATAATTGTCTACAACAAGTAGCCCCCACTAACAGAGATATAACCCATGTGAAAGTATTCATGTGTACAAGAAGGTTTCCTGCCACAGACACAAGGAGCTCTATTTGAGGAGGCTGGCTTTTCAGGGGTGTCTCCGTTGTGACTTGGAAAGGGGAAGGGCTTCTATCAGAGCTCTCAAGTTCAGTTCTGCATTCAAAAGTACCATTTGTACAGGGCACTTGAATTCCTTAATAAGGAAGGAGATGGGCCTTGGATTTTACTCTGCAAAAATTCTCAGTGTAGAGCAATGGGATGTACTTTTCTCTTTGCCCCTGTCACACACTCCACTGAGATGGTTCCTTAACCATACTGCATCTACCCTTGTCAAAATTCAAAACTATCATAATGTATTAGAGCCATAGAAATCTTTCATGTGCTTCTTTATGAGATGCTGTTGATCAGCTACATTTTTTAATTCCTCAGAATTAAGACAGACAGAAAAAAAGGCATGTGTTTTTAACATAGAATATAACATCTTCTGTTTCAGGAGTGAATACCAGTTGGTTATGAAAATCATGTATTTTAAAAGTGATACATAAAACAAAAATAGGGTCTGACAGTCTTCATTTTTTCCATTGGCTTCAGTTCACAGGCCATAAGCCTTTTTGTTGACATCAGAAGCTCATACAGTATGTTTGGCTACCCTGAGCCTTAAGATACTGGGAGAAGCAGCTTGAACAGTCTTCTACAATGCTAGCCAGTTGTCAGCCCTGCTCTTCTTGTTTCCTCCCCTCCTTTATATTCATTAATTGTAGGTGTAATTAACTGAAGGAACTTCTTAAATCTCAAATCATGGAGGGAAAAGTAGGAGCTTTCTATTTGCTTGAATGCTGATAACTTGCAAAAAGATATGGTGAAATGAACTAGGTCAATATTTCCCCACCTGAGCAACTTTTATATATGTTGATTTCAATTCCTGGAATTTTCAGCGATTAATATGTTGACTGGGGAAATCTGTGCATTGACATCCAAATATGGAAGCTAGCCAGGTTGGGAGCACTGATCTAGTCAGAGGTGCCATGGGATGATGACGATGACAGTGACGATGACGATGATGATGATTTAAATTTATATGCTGCCCATCTCCCCCAGAATAAAAATTTCTCTTCAGGTTTTGCAGAGAAAAACTTCATATAAGATAAAATAGCACCTCTTGTCTTCAATGCTTGTGATTCAAGTATTTATGAAGCAAAAGTTTGTCTGTTTGTTCAATGTATATAGCTGCCCATCTCACATACATGGGTTCCAATTTTAGATATGTAACTGGATTATTACTCCTTTACTAACAGATATGTGTTTTTCTGATCTTTTTTTTATCCAGTAAAATCTTGGAATGACCAAGGCTGCTTGCTGCACGTATTTCAGGGTCATTCCAAAACTGTTACAAAGCTTCTACTGCACCCAAACACTACCTCTTTATTTATCTCTGGATCTCTAGATGGATCAGTCAGACTCTGGTCATTTGATACTATGGATGCTTTTTACAGGTAGCTGAAATAATTTTTTTTAATCTATACATTCCCTGAGTTGGATCCAAAGACACTGTTACAAAGTTCCCTGAGCATCAGCCCATGTGTTTCCTAAGATATTAAAATATGTAGTTTAAAAAATCAGGATGCTTTGGAGGCTTTTTTAAAAAAAATATTTTTAGATCTATACCAACATTCACAGTGCTATAATTGTGGGTATATTTTTGCAGCTCTAGAACTTGCAGAGAAGGTCAGATGATCATTGTTTTCCGTAGTTATCTCGGAGGTAACCAATAACTAAAGTATCTTTTGAATCCACTATCAGAGCATCAGATTGTGCAGTAACTAAAACTCTTTATGCCCTCTTAACAATTAAGGAGGATTCCCCACACTCCCAATCTGTGCCTTTTTTAAAAATTTATTTTTTACAAATATGTGGTGGCTTGCAAAAAACAAAACAAAAAAACAAACAAAAAAACCCCCAACCCTCTTCTGAAAGGCTGAAAGGTAATAGCAAGGGATTTTTTTTTAAATTAAAAATGCAAACAAATGCCTTTAGATATGGCAATACAGTGGTGAGCCTGGATTCAGAAGCCATTTCAAATTGAATGTGGTGGGGAGAATGAAGGAAGAGCAGCTGTAAAAATGCATACACAAACATCAAGACCTGGAAACTCCATTACAAGATACTGACCTTTATGGAGCTGTGGGGAGAGAATCAATTGCAGATGCTGTTATCTGCTCTGATTTCAGGTGCAAATGAAGTGGTGAAACTGAGGACAGGAAGCAGGTTTATGGCAAGAAATTCTACCCATGGAAAACAGGCAGCTTCCATGGGCTAGGCAAATGTTATGGAAATGTTTAATGATAGATTTTATTTATAAATCAAATTAATATCACTGCCCAACTCCCCCACAAGGAGGGACTCTGGGTGGTTCACAACCAAACAGTTAAAACCAATAAAAACATAAATAATGTTTTATTTAGACATAAGTAATGTATATTATTACATATTGTAC